GACATTCTAAAAGAAAAGAATAGAGTATTAACAAGGAAAATACTACAGATAGAAGAGATAGTGCTTTTTGGGGGNGGGGGCAGTTCTAAGGTACTTAAGTAGGAGACCCACACTGACCTTCAAAATTGACAGAATTCGAGAAATTCAGCTCTACTGGTAAGGCATCTGTCAATAAGAATGAAGTAAAACCCTAAGAAAAGAAGTATGAGAAAAAAACTTTGAACTAGAATCCGTAACGAAAATTATTTCCAAAAATCTCGGAAAAATTAAATAAATTTGTACCTATAATATTTCAGTGTGTCATAAGTAACTGTAAATTTATAAAAAGCAGCAACATTTTTTAAAATTCATGATTGTACTAAGAATTAGACAGATATGTAATAAACAGGGTTTGAAAAATCCCACCTAGCTTTTATATCAAAAAGCTGAGATTAATTGAGTTTTTGAAGAAAAACCTGAAGTTTTTTCAAAAATATTTTAAATTTTTATTTCTGAGTACTAAAGCATAATTTGCTCCTAACAAGAAAGTTAAATGTTAGGCAACTATTTATAACTTGTTTTGCTGCATTGTAAATTTTTTTTAAAGTTTTAGATTGTTACACAGATAGATTGTTATTGTTTTTGTTTCTTAAGGATAAGCAGATTGTTACATAAAAATTTAAATCTACTCAACTAAACGATCCCAAACTTTTTGTTATTAATGTCTATTAGAATATAAAGTTTCTATTCAACTTTTGGTTGCCTTAAAATTAGTAAATGTTTTTCGTCAGATTGTTTAGTAACATTAAAGTTAATTCCTAATATCAGTTTTGACTGGAAATAATTGTAAAGCTCATCTTAAAAGTAAATATAACACATTTGCTGTTGAGGGATAAGTTCAAAATGGTTAAGTTACACATTACTTTCAATATGTTTTTCATAAAATTTTTCAATAGATTTTTTCAAAACTATTAATTCACCATAAAAATAAAATATCAAATCATAATAATATTAGAAAATAATATTAAGAACTATACAGGGTGATAAAGAAATATTACAAGTAAATGTCGATAAATTATGAAAAAATAAATAATTTATAAATATTTGTTAATTAAGTAACCTTACCAATTTTCTAGCCATAGGTATGCGTTGATACCTTTGAAAAATCATTTTGGACCCTATTATTAATAAGTTTCACCGAGAACTATCAAAAAACATATTTAGAACATTATAGTTTGAAAATTATAAGTCTTAAACATAATCGTATTTTTATTCTATAAAAATTTTATAAAAATATTTATTGCAGTGAATTTAAAAAAATATATATATTAAGTTAAGCCTAAAGAAAAAAAAAGTGGAATGATTCAAGGTGCTTAGATATTAGTATGACTCGTTTTTACTTAAAATAGGATTTGATTTCACATGACATAGTGAAGAAAACTACTCTCATGCATAACTCTAATTCAACTTCTGAGTATTAATTTTTTTTAAATATATGCCCTTATAAATGAAACATTTTGGTAATAGAGAAAAAGAATTTTTTTGGCATAACTGAATATTTACCAAGATTGGCCCACGGCTGAATATGTGATGCAAGTCTAGTAGCGAAATATAAAAAACTTGTAATAATTTCTTCAATGCTGTTCCAAAATTTTTTTTATTTACTCTTTTTTTAATATATTTCTGCACCTAATTTTACTATTCAATTCAGAGCTCGAAAAACCGCCCGTCCGCCCGTCCTCGATGGTCAAAAATACCCCGCGGACAACAAATTTCTCGAATCCAACGTCCGCGCGGACGGCCATTTTCCCGTTAATGTTCGTGATATATTTTCAATTTTTGTTATCTTACAAGAGTCTAGCTCCTCACTTCTAAAATGACCCTCTAATCTCGAAATACAGCAACATACTGCGCATGGTGGAATTTATGTTTTCTCTGAATGGGAGTACTGCAGCGGTTGAAAGGGGCTTTTCAGCAATGAACATAAAAAAAAACACATTGTGTACTGGTCTTAAACAACAAGCGTCAACCGCAATTATGAGCATCTACCTAAATGGAAAACCTCTTTCAGATTTCTGTGCTGAAACCCCTGTAAATCATTGGCTTGATTGTGGAACTGGCAAACGTCGTATTTGATTCACCAGCGGGTGACCGAGCTCCGCTCGGAGAAAACAGGTATCGAAGCTAACTCGAAGATTTAAATTTTCAATTGTGATTTATCAAAACAATACATGCCATAAGAAAATTTGTGAAACCATTGGTGAAAAGATAACCGGTTAAAGTGCACCATTGTAAACTATCTAAACAAAGTTTGGAAAGGGAACTATTCTATACAAAGGTAAAGTTTGAAAAGTCATAGGAAATAAAATGTAATTGATAACAAAAAATTATACAATTAAAGAAATGGTACAAAGTGAGCAGTGTAAAGATTGAAGTGTGTTGAAGTTCAATATTTTTGACAAATTTATTTAGAAAAACCAAACATATATACATACATAAGAAACATATTATAAACCTATAACAGCATAAACATAATAAACATTAATCATCGATTGCGAAGTCTTCCATGTTGTCCAGGTAGTTTCTTGTCGGAGAGGCAGGTGCGGCTGGTGAGTTTCTCTTGTTCAGGACTTCCTTCCATACGACGTTTCGGGTGTGGGTTGGATTCTCAGGAGGCAGCAGGACCTTCAACGCACTTTGACGCTTGACTCTTGAAAACGCGACGTAGAGCATTCCGTGCACGAAGACCGTCGTGAGGAGAAGCACGCCGACGAATTCGAATGTTTGGCCTTGTGACTTGTGTATCGTAATGGCGAATGCTGGAGTAACTGGGAATTGGTGCCGTTGCATAGTTGCGCCAAGCTGTGATTTGCTGGAGTCGAGCGTGATCCTTGGAAGGTGTACTTGTCGGCCTGCGTGTTCACCGGTGATGATCTTAGCCTTGATGATGTTGTTGCAAAGTTCGGTGACAATCAATCGTGTTCCGTTGCACATTCCTTCAGAGACGTCCAAGTTTCGGAGAAGCATGATGATGGCGTTCTTCTTGAGCTTCAGATTGTGTGGAGGCAAGTCGGCGATGTTGATCGAGTTCAGGAATTCAGGCGCGAATTGAATTCCCCCTTCATGTTGATCCTTTACCGAGTCGAAACTTGTGTATGTCTTCTCTTCGCCTGGAAGCATAGCGATAATCTGCTCGTTGATCTTGTCCTTATCGTCGTTCAATGGTGCAAGAATAGCGCGATTCTTCATTGCTTCGTAGTTCCCACTTCTGAGGCATGGTCCGAAGATTTCATCGATGAGGTTACCACCAGAGCGAATTTCTTCTGGGACTTCTATTTCGCCGAGTTCATTCACTTCGAGTTCCCCGTCGCCGAGCTTTAGCAGGTATTTCGCGAATTCTTCTTCTTCGGGATCAACGCGCATGTTCTTTTCGAGCGAATAAGTCTTGAAGTGTTGCCACAGATGGCTTCTCTTGATCAAAAGGTCGAGTATTTCGCTTTTGTTGGCACGTTGTTGAACTGGACAGCACTGTCGGAAGTCGCCACCAAGCACCATGACTTTGCCTCCAAACGGAATGTTGTTGCAAATCGCGCGTAGGAGTTCGTCGATGTTGTGCAAGCCGTATTTTGACATCATCGGAGCTTCGTCCATCAGACACATGTGGGCTCCTTTGAGTGCGTTCGCCTTCGGTGATCCTGGTTTGATGGATGATCTTGAGTCGGATGTAAGCGGGACTTTCAAGCCAAAGGTTCGGTGCGTTGTTTGACCACTCGGTAGAAGAATCGCTGCTATCCCGGTGTAAGCCATGCATTTCACTTTCTTAAGCCTTCCGGTAACGATGCGATACAGCGTGCTGTAGACGAATGTCTTCCCGGTTTCTCCTAGTTCATCTATGAAGAAGCATTTCGCAGCAGGAGTTGGGTCTTCAAGTGCTTGGATTATGGTGTCGACGATTTCACGCTGCTTTTCGTTGAGTTGCTGGTACATGCGGTCTCCGATTGCTGTTGATTCGTCGACGTCGATCATATCGTGTTCCAAATCTTGCTCATAGTTGTCGATGTCTTCCATGCCATGTGTCTGAACCCAGTATCGGAAGTTGCGGCCTTCGGTAGCTTCGGTGTCCAGCTTATGCGCGATGATTCGGTAGGCACGCTTTATCGCTTCTTCTATGGAACCACCAGTGCGTCTTGCTTCTCGAATGAAATCTTCCGCGAGGTCCTCTTTGAACATTTCCCATAATCTCTTCGGGTTTTCTGGCGCACCAGGTATCAGGATTTGAGCCAAGAGTATGCGCATAACACTTGGCATTTTCGATGAAGCAGATTCGCGGAGTCCTTCTACGTACTGTTGGTCGTCGTATGTGAGGCCTCTGGCTAGACAGGCTTGCTTGTAGGTTGCGTGCTGGACACCGTCGACAGTGTAGAGGTCTCTGAAGCTCGTTGGTTCTTTGACGTGGAACAAAAGCGTGCGCATGAAGAAAAGTTCTGGCTGGGAAACGAAGTTGACTGGATGTACGCGACCAATTCTGCTGCAAGCATTCACGTTCTTCTGCCAAGTGCTCGTCTGGCGAATCCATCGGTAGTGCTCCGGCATTTCATGGTAATAGTGGTAGGTGACTGCCTTTCCGTTCGCTTCGTCTTCTTTCAGCGCGGTGTTATGGCGGAAGTAAGCCCTTAAGGTCGATCCCTTCTGTCCAATATCGGCAAGGTCAACAGGCGTTTGGTCCAAGTTAACGCCATCTTGTCCGGGTAGGTGAATGTCAAGTCGAACGACGGTGTGGCTTTTCGCTTGGATCTCGAAATCCTTGAATAGGCGCCAACATGCTTCAACTGGTGAGATATAGCGAGCTTCTACGTACTTCTCCGCCTCGTTGTAGATGATCGTCTGCTGGTTTTCACGGCCTTTATCGTAGCACAATCATGGCCCTTGTAGATGTACTTGTAGAGGTATTTCACCGGTTCGATGCTGCCTACGAATTCGACATTGATGTGGCATTGATACTTCTTGAGCAGGTAGGCGATGTATGGAACGACGTGGCGGTTGTCTGTGGTGACGCGCTGGCCGTTGCAGTCTTTCCTGTAGATGGCTTGCTCATGCAAAAATTCTGGGTTCATTGGATCCAACAACGGATTGTAGCGTCGGCGATACCTCGGCTTTTCATCGTCCACCAGCGATGTCATGTCTTGATGTTCCACTGGAAATCCCCATCTGCACTGGTCTCTTCCATGTTTGCTGACCATGCACGGAGCGCTTGAGTTCATATCACCACACGGGTTATGGATCATCCATTTCGAGATCAGTTCCTTGAGTTCCGGACCATCTTCTGGAATTGCCGCCGAGATAAAATCGTCAAGTTGGTCAGCGCTGTGAATCTTGTCCGCTGGAGACATAATCACTAATAGGTGCATGTGCGG